GTGTCACCCAACTGCTCAAACGTGTGATGTTTACAGAAGGCTGTGCACTTTGGAAGTACTCTTAACAACCTTCATGTAAGATGTATTTTATTGCAATGTTTTTTATGAAGGAATTGTGACACAACCTTCATTACGCTGAAACCACGTCTTCGAACCTTCATGTAAGATGTATTTTATTGCAATGATGTTTTTTTATGAAGGAATTGTGACACAACCTTTATTACGCTGAAACCACGTCTTCACCCAACAAATCGACTCAGTTTCTCTGCGCCGTCTGAGCTCAGACTTTCTCACTGGTGGCTGCCTGAAGCACACAATGATTAATTAGAGCTGGGCCAATTTTGTTACAGTCCAACATGAACTCGCCAGTTCTCTGGCTGTTCATTGCCACCATCCCTCTGACCAGCCAAAACTTACTCCAGAATGCTGGGCACTCGCTCTGTCACCAGCAGCAGCAGGTTTGTGGACTGCCTAACCCTGTCCAAGATTGTTGGTTTTGAAGGTAATTACGTTAAACACAGGGGCTGTCCCAGCTGTGCTGGCACAGAGCTGGATTGCTCTTAGCAGCAAGAGCTGCAGTTAGCTGGCACACACACCAGCCACAGAATACGAACTGGGAAGCCAGGGCAGCCCTCATGGCTCTGAGAGAGAAGGAAGGTGAGCAATTGCATTTTAGGGACAGCAAAATCTCCTTTTCCCACAGCTCACCCCTCTTGTAGACAGCCAAAGAACTGATACGCAGTGAAAGGGATCTACTCCTCAGTGAACACACGTGTCAATGGCCTTTTTGAAAAAGCAGTCCATGCATTTTCAAACATGCAAAGCCAAATGTCTTTTTAAAAAGTTCAAATATTATAAAAGATCGAATTTGTTAATCGTCAGTTATCAAAAAAGTGTTTTAATATATGGTCTCGCATTTACTTTTTGAATTATGTCAACAGAATCACACAATTAATATATAGCAAAATCTTGTTGTATTTCTAACTGGAACTCAGAATAATGACAGTTATTCTCTATATTAAAAAAATGAGCTCCAAAAATTAATTTCCCTGCCCTCCCTAGATTACCACACTCTAACGTTCACGCAAAGGACGGTGCCAGTGTTTGCTGGTCAGCAGAAGCAGAAATGGATGACAGGCTAATGGAAGGGAGCAAGCTGCAGCAGTTGTGCTGTGCTCGCACCGAATTGGCTCATTTCAATTGATTTCTTTGATGTACAAATATGAAACTGTAGTAACTCATAATTCATCTACAAATTCGTCACTTAAAAAACATTTGTCTTCTCTTCCACCCCAGCTTCAAATCATCAGAGACATCCTGATTTGCAGAGCGAACTAAAGCCAAAATTTTTATTAATAGTGATTTTCAAAGTGCCGAAACAATTGTAGTCTGTACAACAAACGATGCCAGCACACGACCTGGCTTTAAAAAAAAAACAAACCCTCTGTAAATTCCTTCCCTCTCCCTCCCTCCTCACATCAGCACAGGCAGGATGCTGCCATACTGCAGCAGGAAGAAGCAGTGGGAAAGTGGGAAGGCTTTCCATCAGTCTTGCTGCCAAAGGAGGCGATCCTCAGCCCGGGGCCGGCGAGGCTGGGGGCCATCCCACGGGTAGTTCAGGGCTAAGGCTGTGCACACCGAGGAGCAGCTGTGGAGACCAGCTGAGGCCACGAGGGAAACTCATAGGTTAGCCCACGTTTTGTCACGTTACCGAAAATAGTCTGTAAATAAATATATTAATGTGCCACTTGCTTGTAGATAACAATTCCTTAAACCAGCATTCAGCCTTTAATGCACAGCCATGCATTTCCAAAGGAGGGTGTTCCCGCTGCCTGGTACTATAGATCCAGATTCCAAATGGAGATTGGTCACTATTGATTCTGTTAGTATATTAGGGCAGCAGTCTGCATCACATGAGATTCACAGAACTGCTGAAATGCCCATTAACTTGCCCACGCTGAGCCAAGATCACCTTGTGTCCAGCTCACTCCAACCCCATCAGCACAACGCCAGCTCAAAGGCAATTCACAGACAAGGAGAGGCTTTGTAGGAAACCAGAGCTGTCACAGAGGCAGACGCAGAGGGGCTGTGGGTGCTGCACCCCCACCCTCAGCAGTGCCCCCCCAGCCTGCAAACACCCAGGGCTGGAGGATGTGGCTCCTCCAGAACCCTCCTACTGAAATTGCTCCCCTGTTTAAAAGCCACGACGAACAAGGAGGGTGGTAACTGTAGCTGAATGTGAAATTATGTCCAGGAGACATTAAAAAAGCTCAGCACTGCCTGTGTCTGCTGCAGCACGAGGCAGCAAAGAGGTTTTTTTGGGCAGGTTTCCGAAAGCAGCACACACGGACCGGTGCTGGACACGGCAACACGGAGGACAGGGAAGGTTCCTGCCCTGCTTCTTTGTGCTTTGTTTTTACATAGCAAAGACAATTAATTCTTCTGATAGTCTTCTCTGAGCAAACAATCCCATCAGCTCCTCTGCTTTTGAATGACAAGATCAACAGAGACCTAGAAAATATGACATGAAAGCAATTTCCTTGTTTTCTTGCCTTTTCTGCGCAGTTGTGGTGCCTGGAACTACACAAACTCTAGAGGCTTTGCACTGCATGAAGCAAAAAAAATCCCAGGCAGTGTCAGCCTCCTGCCCTGCACGTCTGTGTCGGGCAAGGGACGCACTGAAACACGGCCCCGCAGGACGGGACTGTGTGCCCTGACTGCGGCGGGACGCGGCTCCTCCGCCGCGC